ACCTTCAATCCACCCTCCCAAAACCCTAGAGTCTTAACCTTTCAGGAGTTGGTTATGGAGGATATAAGTAAAATGTATGATACCAATAATACAATTTGGCACAATCTGACTAGAACAGAAAAAATATCTTTGAACAGTTTGAAAAACCTAGAGGATGTTATTTTTAAGTCAGAAGACAAGGGGGTGCTTTGGTTATATGGGATAAAACAGACTATTATGGAGTCCAATATACAGCTTAATAATACCCTACATTATAGTGTAAGCAAGGAGGATCCCATTCAGAAAATTAGGAAGGAAATTATAGTATTGGATGAGGCCCTATTAGCAGGCTATATATCCAGATTCACCTATGACTTCCTTCTACAATCTGAAAATAGAACCCCACAATTCTATCTTTTACCCCAAATCCACAAAGGCGTACTGCCTGTTCCTGGCAGACCCACATCCTGAATTTGGATGAATTCTTAAAACCCTTCATCCCAAAAATTAATACATACCTAAGGGACACTATGGATTTTTTTGGGACATATTAATAAGCTCAGGATGGAACATGAAGATATGCTCTTTATCACTTTGGATGTGGTATTGCTATATACCACAGTGAGGCCCTAGAGGTACTTCAAACTACACTGAATATGAGGGAAGGAGATCCCAATCCTCCCACTTTCTTTTATGCCATGTAACTGAAATTTGTTTAAAATGGAATTATTTTCAATTTCAGAAAAAAAAAATTTGGCAAGTGTCTGGGACTGCAATGGGGTGCAAATTTGCACCAGAATTGGCAAATCTTTTTATGAATAGATTTGAAAATCAATTCATCCTTAATGCAAACAACATCTATGCTGAGAACATCACTATTTTAAAGAGATTTTTGGATGACATTTTTCTACTCTGGAAAGGTCCAGTTCTACTTTTATTGGCATTTAAAGAGTTCATTAATGGCTTGCATGAAACTATCAATTTTGAAATGAAATATGATTACAAGGAAATTAACTTCCTGGATGTCAGTATTAGAAGGATGGGAAACATAATACAGACCAGCACCTATAGAAAATCTTCAGATTCCAATTCCTTTTTGTCTAGTGACAGCTTCCACCCACCATATCTAAAAAAGAACCTACCCTATTCCCAACTGTTGAGGCTTAGGAGAAACTGTAGCCAGTATTCTGACTTTGTTGAACAAGCTAAAATATTGATGGGCCAGTTTAGAGACAAGGGCTACTCTTTTAGGACTGTTAAGCAGGCTTTTCATAAGACAAAAAATACTAGTAGGTCCTCCTTCTTGATACCTATGAAAAGACAAGGTCAATCTGACAGGATTATTATTCCACTGATTTATGATGGAAGATCAACACAGGTCAGGCCCTGGTCACATGGGAGGTTTAGGCCTGGAAGAGGGACGGATCAGGGGCGCAACAAACAGCCGCGATCACACCACAACATCTGGGAAGTGGCGCGCACCCATCCCCGATCTGGCCCTTTAGGCCGAAAATGCGCATATTAAAAAAACCTAGAAAAAGGTAGGACCTACCTGAAATGGCGCAGCAAGCGTGGCCGTGAGATTGCCGGCACACCCATCTTCAGGAGCAATCGAGGCTCCCGGCTGAACTGCGCATGCGCACACATGTGCAGCCGGCTGCCTCGTGCTCCCTTCCGTGGCTTCCCCCCCCGCATCTGATCGTGCCAGGGAGCAACTGTGCGGCCGCTCAGGGGACCTGTCAGATCCCACCGCCGAGTGTCTCTTTTGGGGCGGCTCTAAAAAGCTGCACTTTGGCCATGCTCCCCCCCCCCCAGTGTGGCAGGGGCCAAAGTAGCATCATCAGAAAACATTGGCATTTATTAACTAACATTCTTTCATGTGAGACTGCTCCTCTCTTTGCCTACTGAAGTTCTAAAAATCTGAAAGATATGTTAGTGAGAAGCAGCTTAAAATCTTCACCAGCAATACAAAGGGGAATAGATGGTCAAAATTTACCAACTGGCAACTTTCCCTGTGGAAGATGTGAGGTCTGTGATTTGATGTTACGTACTAACATTTGTTATGATTCAGCTAAACAGAAAAAGTATTCTATTAGATCATTTTTAACTGTAACTCAAAGGGTCTTATCTATTGTATCATCTGTAAGTGTGAAAAAAGTACATAGGGTGTACTTCAAGGCTGATAAAGATCAGAATCACAGAACACAGAAGTTGCATCAGACGAAGAAGAAAAAATGCTCCCCTCACCGACCACTTTGCTGCAGCAGGACACAACGACAGAGACTTCTCTTTCTTTGCTCTGGAATATGTTTGACCTTGCAACCCCCTGCAGACGACTCAGCACTTGAAAACCAGAGAATTGTTTTGAATTCATGCCCTCAAAACTGTAACCCCATAGAGTCTAGTCTCCAGAACAGCAATTTTCTGTAGTGGAATTGATCTCTGTTTGGAGATAAGTCATAATTTTATTATTATTACGGTCTTAAGACCAACATACAGAGTAAGCATAATGTGTGAGGGAGAGAAAAAAACAGTCATAATCAGTGTTCCCTCTAAGCTGAGTTAGTGTGAGCTAGCTCACAGTTTTTTAGCCTCTGGCTCACAGATTTTTGACTTAGCTCAGGAAGGACAGCTCCAGAGCAAACTAGTTTATGCAGCAGCCAAATCACTCACTCACAATTTTAATGCCAGTAGTTCACAAAGCAGCATTTTTGCTCACAAGACTCCACAGCTTACAGGGAACATTGGTCACAATATACAAAAATAGAAATCTGAATTTAAGAACTTTTAAAATGCGATTCCCACAATCTAAGAATTAATGCACAGAACTCAGTGACTGAATGTGTAATCGCTGCATTCTTATCTGATAGGAGCCAGTGAAGCCTTGCTTTCTTTGTATTAATGTGCCCAGGTGCCCTATCGACTAATGGGGTAATAATTTTAAGACGAACCTCCCTATAAAATGGACAGCTGAAGAACATGTGCTCTACCGATTCAACCTCGCTTAAAAGGCATGGAAATAGCCTTTCAGAGCAGGGTTTTTTTTAATTATACCTGTCTTGAATAACCACAGATGGAAAGGCAGAATATCTAGCTAGGGCAAATGCCCTTCTAGAATTCTTTCCCTCCACTGAAGTCAAATATATTGCCAGTTCAATGGTGCTTTTGATATTTAACACCCCCCCTAGTTTGGAAGCCTTAGAGATGTCAGATTGTCACTCAATATCCTCAACTCTTTGTTTGATTAGCCCTTTGGCTTGTTCAAATCCACAGGATAAGAGTAGCTGAGGTGAGAAGTCAATTCTATGAATATGGTAGTGAACTGTCTTGATCCAACTGGATTGGAAATCATCCTGGAATATCAGGGAAAGTAAGCCTTGTGGATTGCCAGAAGCAGAGCTAACCCAGCTGAGCTCTAAGAAGGAGCAGGAGATAGAGCTGCTAGAGGGGTGAGTGTTTTTTATGTACTTTCAGCTGAGGTGATTTAGCTGAGAGGGTACTGTATTTGGGAGTGTGTGGGTGAGTTGTTGCAGAGTCCTGGCTGCTTGAGATAGGGTGTGAAAGGGTCATTGTTTGACTGTGATTGAGTGCCTGGGTGAATTTGAATAGCTGCTAGCCACACCCTCTGCTGAGGGAAGCTTCTATTTAAGGCAGCACCTTACCAGAGGCAGGCGCTGAAGAGCTCTTGGCTTTTGGCTCTTAGCACAGGAAGAGCCAGAAAGCCAGGGTCCTAGGTAAGTAGACAACTACAAGGAGAACCAAATATATGCAAAGTGTTTTAAAAGGGTGATTATATATAATTATTTTAAAAGCAATTATGAAGCCAGAATGCTATCCAGTTGGCTTCCAGTGTTTTGCTATCCAGTTGGGGGCTATCCAGTGTTTTGCACAGAGTGTCACATGTATGACTATCTGCCCACTGGACAGAAGTCTTGGGTGTGTGCCTGGTGCAAGGAGTTCCTGGTTCTCAGGGAGTATTTATTGAGTGCATTTTAAATATCCTGCTCTGCTCTAAGGAGGTCAAGGTGGTTTACATGAGTCTTCCCTCTCCATTGTATCTTCACAACAACCCTGTGAGGTAGGTTGAGCTAGTCTGACATTATACCACACTAGGTAGTAGCCACTGATAGACATAAGCCTGGGAAACGAGGTAGCAGGATAAAAACATGACAGATATAGCTCCATATCAGATGGCTTTTAATTTTTCGGCTATACTTCCAGAGAACTGCAGCAACAGACTCAGGTTGGCTATGTCAGTTCCAGGTGGGCAGCCGTGTTGGTCTGAAGCAGTAGGAACAAATTTAGAGTGGAGTGGCACCTTTAAGATCAACAAAGGTTTATTATGCCAGTTAACAGAATTTAAATCTTCCTTCCTTCCTTCTTGAGCCCTTTTCTGGCGGGATGGACAAACATAAGTAAGGGCATGACGGGCGGCTTCTCTCGTGCTTAATACGCGTGCTCAAAAGAACCGCGCCCCCCCCCCCTTCCGGCCTGCGCTTGCTCTGTGGAAAAGTAAGAAAGGAACGTTCCCCGTTAAAATACAATTTAAAAGGGACATGTTCTGTCCCGCCCATTCTCGACGTTTTAGTCACGCCTCTTGCCCACCCAGTTCGGCTCCGCGTAAGGCCAGAGCCCGGTTGAGGTGGCGGCGGCAGTGAGGCGCATATGATTATTATCTCCCTCCTCCTCCCGCCGGTCTTGTGGAGTCGGGCGCGGGTGGGTGCGAGGGGGAGGTGACTGTCGTCGTCAGCAACAGCCGCAGGCGCGGGCTGACTGAGGGAAGCGGAGCTGCCTCTCCTCAGTCGGAGCGCGCAGGAGGGCGATGAGCACCGGCCGCCAGGCGAAGTGGCACTAGCCCAGTCAGCCGGTCCGAGCGACGCTGAACCCCCCCCTCCTCCTCCCTCCCCCGAGAAGCGGCTCCGCTCTGCCACACCGGCTCTTCCCCGTCACCGCCGCCAGAGGCCGCTGAGCGAGGTTGAGGAGGCGGCGGCGGCGGCGGCGGCGGCGGCGGCGGCTGCTCCATGTCCCGCAAGGCCAATGTGGAGTACACTCTGCGGAGCCTGAGCAACCTGATGGGGGAGAAGCGTCGCCGGCAGCAGCAGCAGCACGGCGGCGGCGGCGGCGGCGGCGGCGGCTGCGCGGACCTTGAGCGGGCGGCTCGGCGCCAGTTCCAACAGGACGAGACGCCGGCCTTCGTCTACGTGGTGTCCGTCTTCTCTGCCCTGGGCGGCTTCCTCTTCGGCTACGACACCGGCGTGGTGTCCGGAGCCCTTCTGCTCCTGAAGAAGGAGCTCCACCTGGACGCTTTCTGGCAGGAGCTCCTGGTCTCCAGCACGGTGGGCGCTGCTGCCGTCTCGGCGCTGGCCGGCGGGGCGCTCAACGGCTGCTGGGGCCGCCGACCCTGCATCCTTCTGGCCAGCTGCATCTTCATGGCCGGTGCCGTTTTGCTGGCGGCAGCCCAGAACAAGGAGACCTTGCTGGGGGGGCGCATCGTGGTGGGGCTCGGCATAGGTGAGTCGGGGCCCGCCCCCCAGAACTAGCTTTGCGCGCGCCCAGAGCAGCCGTCGCTGCCTCGGCAAACTTTCCCCCCTCTTGCTTTGCATCCTGCTTTGCCCGGTCGGGGCTAGCTGTGCACCCCTTGCTGCCAGTTCTCCTTGCCTGCTCCTTTGAACTCAGGCTTTCTTTTTCTTTTCCTCTTCTCTATGTACAGGCGTGGATGTGCTGAGTTACCACCCTTGTGGCTGCTGAAACATAAAGTAGTCTTTGCTCAAGGCTGTCAGTGTTCTGGGAGGAAGCTCAACTTCCCCAGCTCTGGGGGAGTTGAGGAAGGAATCATTGACTCCGGAGAGCTTATACCCAGGAAAATCTGGTTTAAGGCGCTACTGGACTCTAATTTTGCTGTTTTACTGCAGACCAACAACTATCCACCTGAAGCTGTCAGCTCCCCCAAAGCACACATAAATGGGCAGAAGTAACATATGGGTTAAAGGAACTAAAAGAGTTTTAAGAACAGACAGGATTTTATTCTAGCCTATCCTGAACAAGTGATTCTCTTGTCTATGAAAGCATATGTTTTGTTGAAATCTCATCAGTTTTTCAGGACACTGAACAACTCTAAGCATATGCTTCTGGGCATCTAACCAGAGACTCATGTCCACAGAAGCTCATGCTGGAACAAAATCTTGCTAGTCTTTCAAGTACTGCAAAATGCCTAATGAGACATGTTGGTATAATACCTTGTTAGCCAAACCCCCAAAGCACACATAAATTGGCAAAAGTAACATATGGGTTAAAGGAACTAAAAGATTTTTAAGAGTGGACAGGATTTTGTTCTAGCCTATCCTGAGTAAGTGATTCTCTTGTCTATGAAAGTTTATGACGTGTTGAAATCTCATTAGTTTTTCTGGACACTGAACAACTCTTAAGCACTTGCTTCTAGGCATCTAATCAGAGACTCATGTCCACGGAAGCTCATACTGGAACAAAATCTTGCTGGTGTTTCAGGTGCTGCAAAATGCCTAAGAGACATGTTGGTGCCTGCAAGCTGCCACAGGATTAGTGTTTCAACAGAGGCAGCATGGTGTAGTGGTTAATGTTAGACTTGGATTTGGGAGACCCCGGGTTGAAATGCCTCTCTGCCATGGAGACTTGCTTGGGTGCCTTTGGGCCAGTCACTCGCACTTGGCCCAAATCTGCCTTCAGGGATGTTGAGAGGATAAAATGGAAGAGAGGAGAATGGTGTATGCTGCTTTAGGTTCCCTGCTGGGGAGAAAAGTAGGGTACAAATTAAGTATATAATCAATAGGGCTATTCCTCTGTGACTTAGAAATTGCTCAAATTCTATCTACATTTCTAATGTTCTTATCACTTCTTTAAACTCAAAGTTGTTCTTCACATTTTTTATTTTGTCTCAGCCTTTGCAGTAATGTGATTTTAAGCAACAAAAAATTAAGCTACTTAACTCTAAGAATTGGGACCTGAACACAGTGCCTTTATCTACTGACAAAATGTTGGTCTCTTTCCAATGCAATTGGAAAGAAAATTTACTGTCATTCAGTCAGGATTTTGCATGGCTTTTGCCATTGCTCTTGTCATGGTTCTTCAGGAAAATTAGTCATGCTTGCCCTATTCTGGTAACCTTGAGCCATTGTTCAAGATTTGGCAAGTCTATTTTGAATAACCTAAATCTAGACCACCTTGGCTGCCCCTGGATGGTCCTTTGGCGCTAGAACTCTTACTTTGCCTAGTTTGTGAAAAGTGTATGACTCCTCCTGCTTGAAAGTGGCCGTGGTCTTTGCATACCTTTTTGGTGAAGTGTGCAGGAGGGCTTACTGACTCAGAGGTCCTGAGTTGTACCTATGATTGTGCATGCCATGACAAAGAAACAATTCCATTTGCTTAAGAAATTCCCTTCATCTGAACAACTACCATCACTGCCGTGAGAGTTAATGTGTAGATCTGTGAGCAAACAAAAGAAGAATGTGTTACATTTGTTGCTCCTTATGGAAGAGCACCCGCATTTTGATGCAGTTGAACATTCATGTGGCTGTGAAATGGTCTCTCTAACAGCTGCCCCTGTTCTGGTATTCAGTATCATGCCATGAAGGAGCTGCGGTGGCTCAACTGGTTAAGACCCTGAACTGCAGGCTGTAGAAGGTTGGTAGTTCAGCAGTTCGAGACCCGAGTTGCCGCATGACGGAGTGAGCTCCCATCTCTAGTTCCAGCTCCTGCCAACCTAGCAGTTCGAAAGGAAGAAATTGCAAGTAGATAAATAGGTACCACTTCAGTGGGAAGGTAACAGTGTTCCGTGCACCTTGGTGTTTAGTCATGCCGGCCACATGACCACGGAAACGTCTTCGGACAGCGCTGGCGCTTCGGCTTTGAAACAGAGATGAGCACCGCAACCCTACAGTCGGATTCGACTGGCTTTCGAGCAAGGGAACCTTTACCTTTACTTTATCATGCCATGAAATCCCTAAACCCATGAATGAATGCAGGAGGTAACATCTTTCTCTCTCTTCTCTCCCCCTGCATTTGGAAGAAGTATTAACATTTGTAGGGGTGTGAAGTTATTAGTTTTTATGTTGGTCTGCCTTTGAGTTCTAGGAATCTTGCTTGCCCCCCAATTCTTAACAGTTTTGTAAAATAGATTAGGCTGGTGGTAACTGACTTGTGTGTTTGAACTCTTTTTTTGTATTCTGCTTTTAGGAGACCTGGAGGATCATTAACATCAATCTCTTAATGTGATGCTGTTTTAATCCTTTTAATTAGTAGTTTTGTCTTCTTTTTGCTGCAGCTTTTCATGACTTACCTTGTGATAACTTCCTTTAAAAATGTTGAAAGCTACCTCATAGGTACTTGCATGCTTAAGTGAGGTATACTTACCAAAATAATGAAATATTTCCCTTCTTTTCATTTAAGCTTCTTCTCTGCTGCTTCCTATGGGAAGACATTACTGTTGTTTCACATAGCTCTTACAGCTACTCAAAACCATATTACTTCCAGTGTAATTTGAATAATTTCATTTTTTCCTTTCAGTTTCCTTCCCCTTCAGTATTTAATATGAGCCTATGGGCAGGGCCTATCTTAATTTTGTATTTTCTGTTTTTCAAATAAATTTCTTCCAAAGCATTCATGTTTGGTCAGATACATAACTCCCTCTTGCCCTCAGACTTAAATATGAGACACAAAATGGGTGTGGATGGAAAAGGTAGAAGTATTTGTATACTGTTAGGGAAGCAGATCTTTACTTGCTGGTGTGGGCAAGTTTGCAGTCTCGCAGTGGCAACATATTCATATTGTTTCTGCAGTCTCCGGGGCACTAGCAAAGCTGAATTCTTTTTGATAGGAGGGGAAGGAAGCTGCCCACAGAAAGATTCTGAGGCAGGGACTGGTTGGGTAACTAAAATGCAACCCCCCCCCCCACTGTGGCCCCCTTCTGTGCTTCTGATCATGTTTCTGATCTGTAGGTCACAGAACGACAGTGTAAGGTGCTTGGCAGTAGTAGGAATGGAAGGAATATGTTGCATCTCCTCCTGTGAGGAATCCAATTCACTTGGTTTCCAAGGAGCTTAGGACAGTGAATATGATTCTGATTTTATTCTCACAACCACTGTGTGAGGTAGATTGGGCTGAGGGGGAGTAACTGGCTCACCAAGTAAACGGTGACTGAGTGGGAATTTGGCCTTGGGCATTCCAGTTCCTAGTCCAGTGCTCTACCTGCTACATCAAATGGCAGTCAAATATTTTAGATGGGGATTGAGAGAAAAGGGTTTTCTGAAGGCACCTAGTGTGGCTGGAGTGAGATGAGAACTGGCTACCTTGCAAAAGGCCATGATTTGAAGTTAATTTAGGTTAAGCATATAGCAGTAGTAAAATATACAACTTTGATTCCTTTCTGCATGTATCTGCTTTAAGATATTATCCCCTGTAGAACTTAGTCCGTGTGGCAGAGGAGCCCACCTCCCCACATCAGCTCTTCCCATCCGCCTCTGAAGTACCTCTCTACTTACTATCAGAAGAATGCGATGCTCAGGCAACTTATTTAACACAAGACACACAATCTCCTGTTGGTCCTGCACAAGCAGGTGTCTGAACATTGCTCCCCAGCCTTAAAATCAACCACTCTGCCTTCCTGGAACCAGCTGGAAAGGACCAGGCAAACCCTTAGTCCCTCACATGCAGTTTTAAAAACGTCAGTGCGGGGAATTTCACTACTGCAGAAATGGTCTGAGGCTCTTCCTAAATGTAGTTTTGTTTGAAATTGGAGGCAGAGGTTTCCAGTTCCTGACTCTTATGTTGTGCAGACTCTTTCCTATACTTAAAGCAGCAGCTGATTGTGGATTTAGTTATGAAGGATCATTTCATTAGGGAGAAAAGTCAGTTTATTCCTCTGAAGTAATCTATTTAATAGAACACACAGGCTGAAAGGTATAACATTTTAATTATACACAATATCCACCCTTATTTTCCAGTTAGCCCCTGGAATGCTCCCTGTGTAACTCACAAAGTAGTGAGGAATCCCTGCCCAGAATCTACGAGAGACCTTTCAGTTTGTTAAGGGCTGGAACTTTGTCTTTTAAAGCTCCATTAAGAACTACAAATTTCAAACAGATAAGCCAGATGGGGAGTGTATTGGTAGTGTTATACAGTGGTTAAAGTGATGGACTAGGATATGGGAGGTTCAGGTTTGAATCCCCATTCTACCATGGAAGCTTGCTGGGTGACCTTGGGCCAGTCACACTCACTTAGCCTAACCTACTTACAGGGTTGTTGTGAGGATGAAATGGGGGAGAAGAGAAATATGAAAATATTGGTTCCCCATTGGAGAGAAAAGTGGGGTGTAAATGGAGTAAATAAAAAAATGCTTTCACCTCTGAGGGCCGCCCCACCTCCAGGAAGAAAGAACTGTCCTTATCACTACCTCACCCTTGGGAGTCTGGCCAATTTTTGCTGCTTTCATGCACTGTGCGCACCTGCCAAGGTGTAGGAGCCATTGAATTCAACAGGAC